TCTTTCCATGATGCTACCCTGCATCCTGTGGGAAACACAGCTTCCCCTCCCTGAACTCCCACAGTGTCCTAAGGCCTCCCAGGCATCTGCTTCTCAGTTATTTGTGTTCTGTGAAGATTTACCCATTCTGTTAACTCCTTGAGGGCTGTTGTATGCCACAGCTGTTCACAAAGGTATTTTCTGAATGCACAGTGAATGTTCCACGACATCTAGGTCAAGAGAATATTACAAAAGAAAGAAGAGGAAATGATTTCAAAATAGCCAGAATGGCTGCCAATTCTTTCTTCCCAGGACATAGTTGCACTTTTATTAAAATATTATCTCGGCTGGGTGTGGTGGGTCACACCTATCCCAGGACTTTGAGAGGCCAAGGCGGGTGGATCACCTGAGGCCAGGAGTTCGAGACCAGTCTGGCCAGCATGGAGAAACCCCATTTCTACTAAAAATACAAAACTCAGCTGGGTGTGGTGGCAGGCACTTATAATCTCAGCTACTGGGGAGGCTTAGGCAGGAGAATCACTTCAATCTGGGAGGCAGAGGTTCCAGGGAGCCAAAATCACACCACTGCACTCCAGTTTGGGCAACAGAGCAAGACTCCATCTAAAAAAAGGAAAAAAAAAAAAAAACCACTATCTTCCCATACCTGGAGGCAGCTGGGAAAAGGAAGGGCATCCTTCAGTCAGAACAAAAGAGTTAGTAGCTAATGAAGGTCAAGTCTAGTCTGTTTCATAAACCCAGGCTTTTCCAATTAGAACAGCATAGACAACGAGGCTGGACTGGGGCACTGAGAGATGATTCCATCCAGTCATCGGAATTCCAGGTGGAGAGGAGAAAGAGGGTGAGTTGAAATGTTCTCAAAGAAATAATGACCAAAAACTTTCAAAATTTGGCAAAAGACACAAACCTATAGATTCAAGAAGCTAGGCAAACCTCAAACAGAATAAACATGAAATTCATGCCATGATAGATCATAATTAAACTTCCGATTAACTAAAGACAAAGAAAACGTCTTGAAAGCAGAGAAAAATAACCTGTGAGGAGAAAACAATGTGAATAACCGCAGATTTCTCATCAGAAATGACAGAGGGTAGAAGGAAGTGGCATACTATTTTTCAAATGCTGAAAGAAAAGAACTGTCAGCAAAGACCTGGAATCAACCCAAATGCCCATCGATGATAGACTGGATTGGGAAAATGTGGCACATATACACCATGGAATATTATGCAGCAATCAGAAATGATGAGTTCGTGTCATTTGTAGGGACATGGATGAATATGGAGAACATCATTCTCAGCAAACTGACACAAGAACAGAAAATGAAACACCGCATATTCTCACTCATAGGCGGGTGATGAAAAATGAGAACACATGGACACAGGGAGGGGAGTACTAAACACTGGGGTCTATTGGGGGGAAAAGGGGAGGGCCAGTGGGAGGGGGAGGTGGGGAGGGATAGCCTGGGGAGAAACGCCAAATGTGGGTGAAGCGGTGAAAGCAAACAGAACACACTGCCATGTGTGTACCTATGCAACTGTATTGCATGCTCTGCACATGTACCCCAAAACCTAAAATCCAATAAAAAAATAAGAAAAAAAAAAAAAAAAAGAAAAGAACTGTCAATTCAGAATCCTGTCACAGAGAAAATATCCGTCAGTAACGAGTGGGAAATGAAGACACTCTCAGATGAAGGAAAACTAAGAGAATTTCTCACCAGCAGACCTACACGAATAGAATGGCTAAAAAACTTCTCTAAACAGAAAGGAAACGATAAAAAAGGAAATTTGAGCCGGGTGCGGTGGCTCACACCTGTAATCCCAGCACTTTGGGAGGCCAAGGCAGGCAGATCATGAGGTCAAGAGATTGAGACCATCCTGGCCAACATGGTGAAACCCTGTCTCTACTAAAAATACAAAAATTAGCTGGACATGGTGGCATGTACCTGTAATCCCAGCTACTTGGGAGGCTGAGGCAGGAAAATCGCTTGAACCCGGGAGGCGGAGGTGGCAGTGAGCCGAAATTGCGCCACTGCACTCCAGCCTGGCGCCAAAACAAGACTCTGTCTCAAAAAAAAGGAAATTTGAAATATTGGGGGGGAGAGGGGGAGGGGACAGGAAGGAAGTGAAAAGGAAAGGGAAGGGAAGGGGAAAGGAAAGGGAAAAGGAAAGGAAAAAAGCACCTTTATTTGTAACAGCCAAAAACTAGAAACAACCCAGATGCCTCCAGTAGAGAAATGGGTGAACAAATTGTGACATATCCATTATTGTGGAATACTATCGGCAATAAAAAGGATCAAACTATTGAATTGATACACGCAACAACACTCTCCAGAGAATTTGCTGAGCGAAAAGAGCCAATCACACAAGTTTACGTGCTGTATAATTTCGCTTGTGTAACATTTTTAAAACAACAAAATAATAGAAATGGGAAAAAGACTGGCAGTTACCAGGAATTAAGAAGAAGGCGGGGGCAGAAGGGAAGTGGGTGTGGTTCTCAAAGGGCAACATGAGGGGACCGGTCCTTGAGGTGATGGAAATGTTCTATAGTGTGACTGTATCAACACCACTGTCCTGCTTGTGATAGAGTTCTTTTTTTTTGAGACGGAGTTTCACTCTTGTTACCCAGGCTGGAGTGCAATGGCTCGATCTTGGCTCACCGCAACCTCTGCCTTCTGGGTTCAAGCAATTCCCCTGCCTGAGTCTCCCGAGTAGCTGGGACTACAGGTGCGCACCACCATGCCCAGCTAATTTTTGTATTTTTAGTAGAGACAGGGTTTCACCATGTTGACCAGGACGGTCTCGATCTGTTGACCTCGTGATCCACCCGCCTCGGCCTCCCAAAGTGCTGGGATTATAGGCGTGAGCCACCGCACCCGGCCTGAGTTCTATAGTTTTGCAAGATGTTATCACTGCAAAAAAGGAAATAAAGGCTACAGGGGATTTCTATTATTTCTTGTAACTGCATATGAATATGTAATTATCTTTAAGGAATTAATATTTCTTGAAGTACTTTCAGGGACAAAAAGAATATAATGAAAATAAGCATTTATAATCCTGCCACCCAGAAAGAGCCACTATTAAAATATTAATGTATGCCTTATAATTTTTTTTGAGAGGGAGTCTCATTCTGTTACCCAGAATGCAATGGCACGATCTTGGCTCACTGCACCCTCTGATTCCTGGGCTCAAGCAATCCTCCTACCTCAGCCTCCCGAGTAGCTGGGATTACAGGCGTGAGCCACCATATCTGGCTAGGTTTTTGTATTTCTGATAGAGACAGGGTTTCACCATGTGGCCCAGGCTAGTCTCAAACTCCTGACCTCATGTGATTACCCCCCACCCCGCTTTGGCCTCCCAAAGTGCTGGGATTACAGGTGTGAGCCACCACACCTGGCCTTAAAATTTACAACTTCTATTCATCAGAAGACACTGCTAAGAGGACCGGCGTGGTGGCTCACATCTGTAATCCTACCACATTGGGAGGCTGAGGTGTGCGGATCACCTGAAGTCAGGAGTTCCAGACCAACCTGGCCAACATGCTGAAAACCTGTCTCCACTAAAAATAAAAAAATTAGCTGGATGTGGTGGCACATGCCTGTAGTCCCAGCTACTCGGCAGGCTGAGGCAGGACTGCTTAAACCTGGGAGGCACAGGTTGCAGTGAGCCAAGATGGTGCTACTGCACTCCAGTCTGGGTAATGGAGTCAGACTCTGTCCAAAAACAAAAAAAAAAAAAGAGGGCCAGGCATGGTGGCTCACAATCTCAGCACTTTGGGAGGCCAAGGTGGGCAGTCACCTGAGGTCAGGAGTTCGAGACTAGCTGGCCAACATGGTGAGCCATCCCCCATATACACTAAAAATACAAAAATTAGCTGGGCGTGGTGGCATTCCCCTGTAATCCCAGCTACTGAGGAAGCTGAGGCAGGAGAATCGCTTGAACCTGGGAGGCAGACGCTGCAGTGGTGCTGAGATCATGCCACTGCACTCCAACCTGGGCGACAGAGCAAGACTCCATCTCAGAAAAAAAAAGGAGTGTATGACAACCCACAGAGCAGAAGAAATTCATCATATGTATATCTAACAAAAGATGTCCAGAATACATAAAGAATTTCTACTATCCAAAATGACTAACATGGGATCCTGGACTGAATCCTGGATCAGAAAAAAGATATTAGTGGAAAAAGTGGCAAAACCCAAATAGTCTACAACTTTGCTAGCGGCACTGTACCGACACTAATTTCTTCGTTATAACAAACGTGCCATAGTAACATAAGAGGTTAACATTGTGGGAAAACTGGATAAAGGGTATACAAGAGTTCGTACAATCTTTGCAACTTTTCTGTAAATTTAAAATTATTTCAGGCTGGGCGTGATGGCTCACACCTGTAATCCCAGCACTTTGGGAGGCCAAGGTGGGCGGATCTCCTGAGGTCAGGAGTTCGAGACCAGCCTGACCAACATGGAGAAACCCCATCTCTACTAAACATACAAAATTGGCCAGGCATGGTGGCGTATGCCTGTAATGCCAGCTACTCAGGAGGCTGAGGCAGGAGAACCGCTTGAACCTGGGAGGTGGAGGTTGTGGTAAGCCGAGATCGTGCCATTCCACTCCAGCCTGGACAACAAGAGTGAAGGTCTGTCTCAAATAAATAAATAAATAAAATAAAATTATTTCAAAATAAAGTGTTTACTTAAAGAAAGAGGCCAAGTGTGGTGGCTCTTGCCTGTAATCCCAGCACTTCGGGAGGCTGAGGTGGGCAGATCACGCAAGTTTAGGAGTTCAAAACCAGCCTGACCAACATGCAGACACCCCGTCTCTACTAAAAATACAAAATTAGCTGGGCGTGGCAGCACATACCTATAATCCCGGTTTCTCAGGAGGCTGAGACAGGAGAATCACTTGAACCCAGGAGGCAGAGGCTGCAGTGAGCCAAGATTGTGCCACTGCACTCCAGCCTTGGCAACAAGAGAGAAACTCTGCTTCAAAAACAAAAAGAAAGCGAGAAACCGACAGTTAGGCATGCAGCCCAATATAAAAACAGGTAGAAGACGCCCACAGTCACGTCATTATGAGGATACCCAAATTTTCAATAAACATATGAGAAGGGGGTCAATTTCATCAGGCATTATCAGAGAACTGGAAACTAAAACCACAAAGTAATACCACGAAATGTCTATCAGAACAACTAACATGAAATGGATAAAAAAAAATACCAAATGTTTGGAAGATGTGGAACAGCCAACACTCTGAGATGCTGATGCTGGGATTCCACAGCATCACAATCGCTGGAAAATTCAGAAGCACGACCAAAGACGAACACAAAAGTGGCCTAAGGCACAGCAATTCTACCACTAATTACTCAACAGAAATGCAAATGTACGGTCTCCCCCAAAATAAAGGCCTCAGAAGAAAGAGGTTTTCTCTGACTTTCTCCTGCCCTCATCTCTGGCCTTTCATTCCTTCCCTCCACATCCTAAGGCTACCCACAGAAACTAGAATCCCTCTTCTCCAGGCAGGTCACAGAAACCAGAACTCCTTTCCCCCAAAGCCAGCCATAAAATCTAAAAATATTACTCTAATTTTCCACCTCTCTATTAAAAACTGGCCATAAAGAAATTACCTGACCCACTTTGCTTGATTTTAAGTCATAAGACCCCCATTCCAGACAGGCTCCTCTGGCCTCATACCCAGAAGGAATGCTTAAGAGAGGTCAAGAAGAATCTAGATAGACAGGCCTTGCTGGGTTTCCCCAGTCAGTTTCTTAGCATTGGACCATCCCCTTTCTGCCCAGTCCTATTTCTACACAGCTGTCTCTACTTTGTCAAATCAAGAATGGACAGTTTCTGATTCGGTAAGGTCAGATTTTAAAAATAATAAAAATTTTCAAAAAATGGACACTTTCCTCTCTATATTCCAGTCTTCCATCTGAAGGTTCCTATGTCACCTAAAACTACGATCAAATAAATGTTTATGCCTTTTTTCCTATTAATGTCTTTTGTCAGTGATTTTCAGCAAAACTTCCAAGGGTGAAGGGGAGGCTATCCCTTTGCCCTGGCACATACATATGTTTCCCATAAAAGCACGTATTCTAGAAAGTTCACAGTAGCATTTTTCATAATAGCCTCAAACTAGAAATTACCCACATGTTCATCAAGAGTAGAATAAATTGCAATATATTCATACAATGAAACTTTGTTCAACAATGAAAAAGAATGAAGTACCGTACATGCAACATCAGTGAATGCCACAAAAATGCTAAGCAAAGGAATCCAGACCCAAAAGTACGCTATATGATTCCACTTACATAAAAAGCACAAAAATAGTCAAAACTAATAAAATACACACTGTGGAAGTCAGGATAGTGGTTACCCTTGAGGGTGGAGGTAGGAGGTAGGACACGAGGGGGCTTCTGTAGTGCCTGCAACGATTTGTTTCTTGATCTAGGTGCTGCTTACAGGAATGCGTCTAGTTTGTGAAAATAACTTAACTGTACATTTGTGATGTATATACTTTTTTGTATATATGTTACTATTAAATGTTTGTAAAAACAAAAAATCTCAAACTCCTTATTATGGTATGAGAGTCCCCTTATGATCAGGACCATCAGTCTATACCACGCAGTGTTTGGACTCCCTCCAGCACCCCAGTGTACCCTGCTGATCAGGACCATCAGTCTATACCACGCAGTGTTTGGACTCCCTCCAGCACCCCAGTGTACCCTGCTGATCAGGACCATCAGTCTATACCACGCAGTGTTTGGACGCCCTCCAGCACCCCAGTGTACCCTGCTGATCAGGACCATCAGTCTATACCACGCAGTGTTTGGACTCCCTCCAGCACCCCAGTGTACCCTGCTGATCAGGACCATCAGTCTATACCACGCAGTGTTTGGACTCCCTCCAGCACCCCAGTGTACCCTGCTGATCAGGACCATCAGTCTATACCACGCAGTGTTTGGACTCCCTCCAGCACCCCAGTGTACCCTGCTGATCAGGACCATCAGTCTATACCACGCAGTATTTGGACGCCCTCCAGCACCCCAGTGTACCCTGCTGATCAGGACCATCAGTCTATACCACGCAGTGTTTGGACTCCCTCCAGCACCCCAGTGTACCCTGCTGATCAGGACCATCAGTCTATACCACGCAGTGTTTGGACTCCCTCCAGCACCCCAGTGTACCCTGCTGATCAGGACCATCAGTCTATACCACGCAGTGTTTGGACGCCCTCCAGCACCCCAGTGTACCCTGCTGATCAGGACCATCAGTCTATACCACGCAGTGTTTGGACTCCCTCCAGCACCCCAGTGTACCCTGCTGATCAGGACCATCAGTCTATACCACGCAGTGTTTGGACTCCCTCCAGCACCCCAGTGTACCCTGCTGATCAGGACCATCAGTCTATACCACGCAGTGTTTGGACTCCCTCCAGCACCCCAGTGTACCCTGCTGATCAGGACCATCAGTCTATACCACGCAGTGTTTGGACTCCCTCCAGCACCCCAGTGTACCCTGCTGATCAGGACCATCAGTCTATACCACGCAGTGTTTGGACTCCCTCCAGCACCCCAGTGTACCCTGCACTCTAACTATCCCCAGCTTTCCCCATCCAATCGTAGGAAGGCATCTAAATCCAAGTCTGTTTCTGCTGACGAGTCTTCCAGTGCAATACGTGCTCCCACCTCCCCAGAGGTGCGTATGTTGCTTTCTCCTACCAGGGTATCCTCTCCCACCTTCCACGTTGCCTCCTTGGAGAATTCCTGCTCAGCCTTCAAGGCATCTCCTCTCTGAGGGTCCTATCCCAGCACTTCTCCCTCAGTCAGAGCACCTACTGCACCCTGCATATCCTGCACTCTATCACGGAGCCCATTCTTTTGCAACTATTCATTCCTCTCCTCCAGTAAAATCATAAGCTCCTTGAAGACATGGAGAGCTGATTTAGCACAATACCTGGCCGAGAACAGGTTCTCAAAAAATATGTGTTGCGTGAGTTCCAGGTGACATGTTCAGGGATTTTCCCAATTCCCTTTGAGAAACCCCGGCTCTTCGGTTTAGAGCAGTATGGAATACTGGAAAAAGCAGACACAGAAAGGTAGCAGAGGAAGGTTAGGGAAAAATTGAGCAAAGACTAAGAATGCAGCTCTAAAAAGAAATATAAGTGGCTAATGGAATAGGAAAGATGCTCACCAGTAATGAGGAAAATGTAAATTAAAACGATAATGAGCTAGTTTGGGGGGATTTAATAACACTTACAGGGCCAGGCGTGGTGGCTCACACCTGTAATCCCAGCACTTTGGGAGGCCGAGGCGGGTGGATCATGAGGTCAAAAGATCGAGACCATCCTGGTCAACATGGTGAAACCCCATCTCTACTAAAAATACAAAAAATTAGCTGGGCATGGTGGCGCGTGCCTGTAATCCCAGCCACTTGGGAAGCTGAGGCAGGAGAATTGCCTGAACCCAGAAGGCAGAGGTTGCAGTGAGCCAAACAAGAGTGAAACTCCGTCTCAAAAAAAAAAAAAAAAAAAAAAATTACACTTACAGAAATATAAAGATAAGACATGTACAAGTATGTTCAAAGCAGCACTGCATGCAATGGCAAAACACCAGAAACAACCCAGATGTCCCACTGACAAGGAAATGAACTTTTAAATTACCTATGATTATTATATTATTATTTTTGAGACAGGGTCTCACAGCGTCGTCCAGGCTGGAGTGTAGTGGTATGATCACACCTCACTGCAGCCTTGACCTCCCAGGCTCAATTAATCCTCCCACCTCAGCTTCCTGAGCAGCTGGGACTACAGGCATGCATCACCATGCCTAGCTAATTAGAAAATGAATGAATAAAACCTGGCAGATTAGTACAATGAACTACTATTCAGCTTTGACAAGAAATGAACTACACAACATGCACTGACGTGAATAAATATCAAAATAAATGTTAAGTAAAAAAGCAAGCTGGCGCCAGGGGCATTGGCTCACACCTGTAATACCAGCACTTTGAAAAGCCAAGGCAGGCAGGTCACTGGAGATCTGGAGATTGAGACCAACCTGGTCAAACTGGTGAAACCCCATCTCCACTAAAAATATAAAAATTAGTTGGGGGTGGTGGTGCATGCTTATAATCCCAGCTATTTGGGAAGCTGAGGTGGGAGAATGGACTGAACCCAGGAGGCGGAGGCTGCAGGGATCCAAGATCCCGCCACTGCACTCCAGCCTGGGAGACAGAGTAAGACTCTGCCTCAAAAAAAAAAAAGAGAGAAAAAGAAAAAAAAAAAGAAAGCAATTTGGGTCAGGCACGGTGGCTCATGCCTATAATCCCAGCACTTTGGGGAAGTCAAGGCAGATGGATCACGTGAGGTCAGGAGTTCAAGATCATCCCGGCCAACATGGTGAAACCCTGTCTCTACTAAAAATACAAAACACTGGCCAGGTGTGGTAATGGTCCCCTGTAACGCCAGTTACTTGGGAGGCTGAGGCAGGAGAATCACTTGAACCCGGGAGGCAGAGGCTGCAGTGAGCCGAAATTGTGCCACTGCACTCCAGACTAGGTGACAGAGTGAGACTCCATCTCAAACAAACTAACAAAAAAGCAAGCTGTAGAATATAAATATGTATACAGAGCTCAAAACATGCCAAACTAGGAAATATATCATTTGAGCCTGCAGTAAATAAACACAAAATTCAAGACAGTGATCACTTCTGCGGAGGAAGCAGAGGGTTATGATCTGGAAGGGACTTTAGGGCTTCAAAAGTGTTGGTAATGTTTTCTTTCTTTCTTTCTTTCTTTCTTTCTTTCTTTCTTTCTTTCTTTCTTTCTTTCTTTCTTTCTTTCTTTTGGGGATAGAGTTTTGTTCTCGTTGCCCAGTGTGGAGTGCAACGGTGCGATCTCGGCTCACTGCAACCTCTGACTCCTGGGTTCAAGTGATTCTCATGCCTCAACCTCCCAAGTAGCTGGGATTACAGGCACCCACCACCACACCTGGCTAAGTTTTTGTATTTTTAGTAGAGATGGGATTTCACCATGTTGGCCAAGCTGGTCTTGAACTCCTGACCTCAGGTTATCCACCTGTTTTGGGCTCCCAAAGTGCTGCGATTACAGGCATAAGCCACCACGCCCAGCCTGGTACCGTTTTATTTCTTAAGGTGGGTGTTTGGTACACAGGTGTCCATTTTATTGCCATGCTTTAAGACTTCTCATATATCCAGTCTTCTTTCCTGCTTTTCGGTAAAGCTTTTTTTTCATGTAAATCCTGCAGAGATATCATTTTTAGACCAACAGAATGGCAAATATTAATACAATGGAACTCTGTATACAACAATGACAAAGAATGAACTACTGTACATACAATATCAGCAAATCTCACAAAAATGCCAAGCAATAATATCTAGTATTATCAGGGATCAGTGAGAATGAGAGAAAAAGACCAATTTCATACTTTGTTGAGGGGAATGTAAATGTATAAAGGTCTTTTGGGAAGTTAATTTGGCAACATTAATAAGAAGGGTTTGCATATTTCATAAATCCTTTGACCCAGTAAAATCCACTTTTAAGACTATGAACTATGAAAATCCATGCACATTTGCTCAAAGATATGCAAGAAAAACCTGACTGAAATATTATTTACAGCAGTTAAAAACTGGAAACAATATAAATATTCTCTTTATTTTTTTTTGAAACGGAGTTTCACTCTTGTTACCCAGGCTGGAGTGCAATGGCGTGATCTCAGCTCACCGCAACCTCCGCCTCCTGAGTTCAGGCAATTCTCCTGCCTCAGCCTCCTGAGTAGCTGGGATTACAGGCACGTGCCACCATGCCCAGCTAATTTTTTGTATCTTTAGTAGAGACGGGGTTTCACCATGTTGACCAGGATACTCTCGATCTCTTGACCTCGTGATCCACCAGCCTCGGCCTCCCAATGTGCTGGGATTACAGGCGTGAGCCACCGCGCCCAGCACTTCTAATGTTTTAAACTTCAGGCACAAAAATGTATTTGTGTGACACTCCTACAATAAAACACATAAATAAAGAGAAGGAAAGAAAACGTACTAAATTTGCCCAGGCACAGTGCTCACACCGGTAGTCCCAGCGCTTTGGGAGGCCCAGGCAGGCAGATCGCCTGAATCCAGGAGTTTGAGACCAGCCTGGGCAACCTAATGAGACCCTGCCTCTACAAAAAGTACAAACACTAGCCTGGCATGGTGGTCCACACCTGTAGTCCCAGCTACTAGGGAAGCTGAGGTGAGAGGATCAATTGAGCCTGCAAGGTCAAGGCAGCAGTGAGCCAGGACTGGGCCAATGTACTCCTACCTAGTCGGCAGAGTGACACTGTCTCAAAACAAAGTACTAAACGTAGGGTCACAGGCAGGATGTCTGAGTCCTGACTGATGACCATTAATCCTTGAGCAAATCACTTAATCTCTCTGGGCCTCAGTCTTCTGTCTGTAAAATGGGGGTGACAATATCAACCCCACCGACATCTTAGGAAGGGCAGGTAGATGTGGGAGAATGATGTAAAAGTGGTTTGCAAATGATAACTCGCTTCACAAGCGTGAAGCAGCATCACTTTCGCAAGTAGCTCTGGAAAGTCTGCAAGAGAAGAGGGTGGATGAAGTAAATTGTCTAATGGAGCTGATGAAAAACTTAGGGCTCTCTCTGGCACCTCATCCTCTAGAACCGGAGAATGCATCTTAGTCAACAAGGCCACAGACCTCAGCCTGCACCCCCAACCCAGAGTCAGGGAGTAAATCCTGGGGCTCCTCTCTGCTTGGTGTACTTCATTGTTCTCTGGAGCAGGCTCATTTCCTTAGGACTGTGAGCAGACTCCCGGGAGCTTTAGAAACACCCCAAAAGTATCTTACGGGGGGTGGGCGGGGGGGCCCTACTGGGAACTCTAAAAGGCAAGATGGGAAGTGGAGCCTTCTTCTCCAGGGAAGAAGGAACAGTGCTAATCACAAGGTAAGCAGCCTTCAACCTCATAAACATTTTTGGGAGAAGCCCAGCTACCTCCAAATTACAGGCAGCCTCACCACTCTGTTCAAACACATCTCTGGCTGTGACTCACTCCTCAAAGCAGGGAGGGGGTAAACACATAGCTGAGGGGTTAGAGATGGAGACGCCACAGCAGAGATCGGGAGATAAACAGGGAGGCCCAGGGAGATAAAGAAAGAGGTGCAGAGCTCTCACACCACAGGCTCACGTGAACAGCTCTTCACTCCCCAAGTTTGACAGGGGTCACTGGAAGTGGGTGAGAGTCAAGCTAAGAGGAAGTAAAGGAAGTGGAGACTGCCCTGGAGCTGCAGACCAGCACTAATTCCCCTTCACCTTGTATCCCACTCTTCCCTCACTTTGTCCCTCAATCCCATCCACTTTCCCACCCCAAGTGTACATGATCACCTCAGTTTCCTCACTTTGAAAAATGGGAACAGCCAGCCCCTTGTAACAATGGCTCCCACGTGACGAGGACGAAGAAAGCCCCATTAAGTCAAAGAAGAGAGCCGCATGGGAAGGGTGGGTACCTACCCTCTCTCTGAATGACTCGCACCTGACTCAGCTCATCAGTCTCAGGTACGTGGTCCTGCCTTCTGCAGCGCTGCCTAGGCCAGAGATGGCCCTTGTGGAGTATGACACGAAGAATCACTCCCTTTCTTCCTCCCCAGATTAGCCAACAAAACAGGTGTTTGCTTTTTATGTGGCTGCCTACCCAGAGGCATGGGCTGGACAAGCTCTAAGCAGAGGGCCGACCAGGGTTACTGTGAGGTGAAATGAGAAAAAGGATTCGGGCGGCACCCTACACGGGGCAGCCTTTCTCATTACTTGGAGCCCTAACAAAGGAAAACACTGGGGCCTGGCAGTGACAGTGTGACCTGAACCCCAACGCTGAAGGAGACACCCACTTGCTGAGCCAGTCTCTCTCCAGGACACCTGCCTAGAGACTGGCACACCTGGAATGAAAGAGAAAGTTCCTCAGTGCCCCCTCCGCATCAAAGGGAGTGGTTCTGCCCTCTCTAGTCTTTGACTCCCTGCTCAGTGATTTTTGCTTTTGTGCCCCCAGACCCAACCATGT